CCAGCGAAGTGGCGTTAAGCCTTTAGTTATTTCATTTCCTGTCGTCTCTCAATTGATTTCGTAACATTTGTTTTGTTTACAATCAAATAAGTTTTTTTTTTTTCTTTTGACACTTGCTCATTGTGCTTATTTTATCTCTCTCTCCTTTGAACTTTCTCACTAATGGGTCAATTAAAGTTATTATTTTTGTCTACTTCATAAGTGATGCTTTTTAAATTTTTTTTTTCCTTTGATTGTCATAGTTAGTTTTAGTTTTTCCTTTCTTTATAATGAATTGTGCTAATTTTTTTAATCATTTTTTTTCTTATTTATGTGCTTAGACTATTGACGTGCTAGATAATAGTGGGTTTTGTTGTTAATTTGCAATATATACATTTCCTTTTTTTTTTTTTCCAATTTTTCTTATTTATATGTTTAGGCTATTTGCTAGATAACAATGCTTATTTTCATGTCCTTTTCCTCTTTTTTTTTTCTTTTTAGGTTTATGGTCAAGACAAATTTATAGGTAGCTTGCCAATTTTATTCATTTTTTTAATTGTTGCCTTCAATGACATTGAATCATCAAAAAAGCTTTACTGTTTTTAAAAAGATTTTATAATTTTGGGGCCATTGGATATTTGATTCTTGAATGATGTTTTTTTTTTAATAGTCGGCATGATGTTGGTATCATTGATATTCTTTCTTAGGTTAGTTTCTTTTTTTTTTTTTTTTTAGATTTGTTGGATTAACTTTGCAATTTTGACCTTATGTTGTTTTCTTTTGTTTTTGTGACCGAAGAATCAAACTTTGTTGAACTTTGGGCTCAATGTTTGTATTTACTTTTGTTTTTCTACTAAATAATTTTTTTTAACTATTTGGGTGCATTTTGTTGTTTTTTTGCTTTCGTTAGTGCTATATTTGCTTTTCTTCAATAATGTGTTTTTTTTTTCCTTTTCAAAGTTTTTGCTTGTTTTCCTTTAATGTTATTTTCCTTATAACAATTCTAGCTACTCGACTTGCACATTTTACTTGGCGATTGATGATATATCTATATATATATATATATATTATGTTTTAGCAAGTGCTTAGTGTCCTCTTTAGCTATTGAATGCATATATTTACAATGCTATGTATTGTTTTGATCATACATTATGTGGAACATTTTTTCAACTACCGTAATTTCTTCTTTATCTTCCTTCTTATTTATTCAAAGTTCTTCTACCTTCTATTTGTAAAATTATTCATTACTTGATAAATGTTGTTTGTTAAGAGATTTTGCAATCTGTTGTGTTTTTTCCTTTTATTTTAATGTCTTTAACTATAATAGTTAGTGCTTAATTTTAGCATTTTGCCTAGAGCCAAATATATCATGACCTCTAGTTTGTTATATCCTATCTTTTTATCGTTCTCACTCTCTTCCATATAGTTGGTTTTTTTTTTTTTTTTTTGTGATGAAAATTCTTATTTTCCTTTTTGATTACAATGCTTGTAGGTATTTATTTTATAGTTTCATAGGTTTTATCCAGCTCCAACTTCTTTTTTATCAAATTGTACCAATCACTTTACTCCTTTCAAATATGTAATGCAACTTACTTTTGCAAATGGTGTAAACCGAGTTTGTGTAATGTAATATTGTTAATATTGAAAGTTATCATCAATTGATGTTTTGTATAAGATATGATGCATGCTTTAAAAAATTCATGTTGACAAGTTTTTTTTGTCGCTCAAAAAAGGTTGCTTATGCATGTTATTAAAAACTTCAAGTTGATGCATAACATAAGGTTTTTTTTAATTGTCTTTGATAATTTATAAATATTGTTTCTGTTCACAATTTAAATAAAAAAATGAAGATGAAGTGGCATCATGTTTAACATGATGATTATAGATTGCATTAATTGCAAAAACAACTTCAAGTTATTTATACATTACAATAAACTATTATTATTATTATTATTATTATTATTTTGTCTGCAGATGTGATAACATAAAACTTTGAGTATGGAGAGTTTGAATTTGAAGAAAGCTATGAGAAATACAAAAGGATTATACTCATTTTTTTTTTATGTGTTGAACCAAATGATAATTTTTACAAATAATTTTATTCATATATAACTGTATTTCTATATGTTAGACACATTTAAATATTATTTATTATTTTTCTCAATAAATGAATACTTTTTTTTAATGATTTCATCTGTTTAGCATAATTAGGCTCGCTTGGCAGAGTGCGAGTATCTAAGTAGTAAGATCATAAAAAAGCTTGTCTTGTTTTTTGCAGTTGACTAATTCCAGGAATGAATCACGGCCATGTAGCCTCTCCATAATGGTCCAGCTAGTATCTCCAATCCTACAAAATACAAGACCATCCCCTAAATGATAGCAAGTCATTACAATGCAGTGAGTAACAGTCTGGTATGATGTGATTGCTACCTTCGATACAGTAAGCTCGCTCATCGTATTGGGATGATGGTTGCAAGACTCGCCATTAAACGATCGTGCACCTCAATAGAAAGCGGTTCAAAGAAGAGGAATGAATAGACATGATCCACATTGGGAAGTGTCTTGATGGAAGGAAGAGGCACAAAAGTTGGAGAAGGAGATCAGAGAAGCCATTGCCTAGATAGAATCTGCAGTCAATGCGACTAATGAAAGCCAGCCAGCCACGAGAGGAACCAGCACAGTGAGTATAAGTGATTTTCTCCGGTACTTCTGTCGGCGGATACACAAATTTGTTATCTAGCAAGCTAAAATTCTGAAACTTTATCAGCTTTGTTATTTCCTCGTTATTGTACTGATTTACAGTCTCACAAGGAAACATCAAAATTGGGAATTTTTGGTGCCAAACAAGCGGAGCTGCTGCTGTATTGCTGATGTCGTAAGTGAAATTAAGGGCAGCCACAATTTTTTTTTTTTTTTTGGTTAACCCGGCGGTATTCAAAACTGTCACATGGTAGTTGAAAAATAGTGCCACATAGCAATTGAAAAATGCTATGGATCGGATGTTACTAGAAAAGTCAGTATGATTAAGTTTCAAGTAACTTTTATATATATAAAGTAGAAAATAAATAAAAATCAAAAATTAGGTAATAAAATAGAAGATCAAAATAAAAAAAATATTAAATATTAAATATTAGATAAAAAAAAATATAGTTTTCTTTTTTCAATATTATATAGTCATAATTGAGATTAATTACAAGCATCCTTCCATAATTCTAGCTAGTCAGTCATGCACACAAGAGTATGATGTGGTGTCAATTAATTCTATTATCATGGTACACTACAGGCTAGATGTTAATAATATATATGACAATTTATCTCACTTGAAACCGTGGACTAAGGGGATCCTTTGGTTTATCTAAGTCTCCCTTTGTGATATGTTGTTAGGAGTAATCTTCTTTAATGCATCAAGCAACGTGCATAACATTGTTATAAAAATTAGGATCATTAAGCAGGCATGACACAAACCTTTAACCATATTAATATTTACTAGACTTGATGATATATATGGGCTTAAGTTGTGAACTTGTGATATAAAAACGCAAAAGGTATTCTAATGTTCACCTATGCATTCCCAATAAATTAACAAAGTTCAAACAAAACAGATCAAAGATACAGCCAGCTAGGCTTACCTTTGGCATGAGAAACACATATACACGCACGCAGTCGTGGCTCCTAGCTAAGTAGCTTGCTCTCCATGTTATACTAAGCCGAAGAAGTTAGAGGGCAACTCTCCTTTGGCGGGTAACTGGACACTAGATTAAAGCTTAAGTTGTGATCTATACCATCACCTGCCAAAGGGGAGAAGCCCTTAACTAGTTCACTTAAAGAATTCTTTTACCCTTTGTAACACAGAATGTAGAATGCTTGACCATCACGTTTTGGCTCTGGTTATGCAGGCAATGCATCAAGAGGGGCTTTATAAGCTGCTTCATTGATGGTTCTAGCTAGCTAAGGAATAAACTGTTGAACAATTAGCATATGCTATATGGATATCCATAATATTGCATGTGGTGCCTGCTTTCTACACATTCCATCCAATGACTCCTTTTATCTGAAAAGTCTATAACAAAGTAGTGCTTGAGTGATTCTACTTGCATGATTTAGACCCTTGTGTATTATGCCCATCTCTCTCTCTCTCTCTCTCTCTCTATCCATAAATTGTTTCGGAGGTGAAGGGAAGAGTTGAAAAAGCAATGTAGAGGAGAGAGATGCCTTCTTTTGCCTAGCTAGGAATGTGCAGCAAAATCTGGGCCTAAGAGGGATATCCTGTGTCATATTCTTTCTCATTTTCATTTACCTTTTATGATTTTTTTAGGGGTATTGCTTTTTTTTTTTTTTAATTTTTTTTTCTTGTATATCCAAACATGCAGTCTCAGATTAGATTTCCATCTTTGTCCAATCAGAATAATTCCTCAAAGGTTGTGAAATTATCTGCAATATTGCTCCCTTTGTGTCACATGAGTCTGGCCTTAGGAGAACGCCTCTCTCTCTCATTTTTTATTAGGCAACATATCTTTCTGTATCCAACTAAATGGAAAAGAACTAGATGCATCATTATGGTTGCTTTGGTTTGAATTGGCAGATTGGAGCCATCATGCTGACTGGAAGAGTAGTGGCAGCTGCTGAAGTATCAGTGGTGGCAGCCACTCTATCTATTGGCGTTCACAGGCCATGGTATATAAATCGATCTGACCAATAACATGTGATGTGCTTGTGCTTGTGCTTGTAGCTAGAATAATAATAAATACATGCACAACACCTGTATAGAGAAGCGTGTGCAAGTAAAGCTTGTGATTAATTGCAGTTGTGTAGATATCTGCCTGTAGATGGAATAACGTGGGTTGTAATGTGAGAATTCTTTGGTGTAATGGAACAAGAAGCTGTAAATGGTATTTAAGATTAATATCATAGCTTTGCATATGAAGGGTTTCATGTAATGAAAAGTACAGGGTTCATCGATACAAAAGTATTCCTTGCAGTCCTCCAGTTTAGATATCACAATTATTTGATCTAGTGGTCTACTACTTTGCCTGATCTTCACTTGCTAATCTCTCCCTCAAAATATTGACTCCCATGTACCTGCAGATATGGAAAAGTAAACGAAATCTCATCACATAAGCTCGTCAGATATCCATGGTCCATTTTAGTTTTTACTGGTCCCATAATATTTTTCCACAATCGAAAAGTCAATTAGCAGATTAATTGAACTATTTTTGTGAATACATTTTTACATGTGAAGAAGGAAAATAAAAAAGGAAGAGAGCATTGAAGTTTTGAACAAAGTGGAAGTTGATGCATTTAATGCACTCCTGTAAAACAATATCCAAAGTCAAAAATGGATGTGGTGTGTAGTTATATAAGTCAAAATCACTTTAAGTAGTATATAATTAGAGCTATAGAGATTAGAACTCTGAAATTAATTTGGTTACCTTCCAAGCATCATGACAGTGGCTTGGGGATTAGTCCCAGGAGAGACATTAAACGTGGATCCATCAATAACCCTTAGCGCATCCACACCGATAACCTTGTAATCACGATCAACGACACTACCAACTTGGCAACCTCCATGATAATGCCATATGGTCATGACTGTGTCCTTGCAAAAATCTTGTAGCGATTGTGACGAATTGTAGTGTCTAGGTAACAAATTTACTGGGGCACTTGCTGTCATGTTTAGTAGTTGCGGAACTGACATATAATCAAACCTAAACTTAGAGAAAGACTTTGAATCAATCACTTTCTCCATAGTTGAAATGCCATCTACACATCTTTGCAAGTCCTGTGGTTCTTTGAAGTAGTTGAAGGTAACCGATGGATTGTCCTTAGGGCTTCGTGTTCTTAGCTCCAAATGACCAGTGGAAATTGGCCCCATAATCTTTTCAAGAATGAATCCACCTTGGAAAGCTTGTTGGTCCAAGTTGCTCATTAGTTCAGTAGCTTTGGCTAGGGCTTCTGGGGTCCTTTGTTTTGGTGGCACCGTTGAGAGCTGACCAATCTGCACATGCCAACAGAAACTTACAGCACCAAATTAATTTCTTGCTCAAATGCCAAACGGTAAATTCTGAAACATTTTTGCTTGAAGGTTTCAATAAATTTTTGATGGGCCGTAATCTAGCCTCTTGAGTATGAGAATTCTAATCAACTTCCTGAGTTGCCTGTTAAGTCTTCAATAAAATCATGGGCCTGATTTATCAGCCCAATAAAAAATTGCAGACAATACCAGATGTGTTTACCTTAGGAGAGAACATCCCATAGTCTCTTTGAGGAGAACCAGCGAAATTTTCACCGCTTGCAGCTTCAATGTAGGTACCAAATTGAGTGATGCCAACAACTTGAATGAGTGAAACCTCAACTGGGAGAGGAGAAGGGATAAAAATAGCATTCATGGGGTTATCAGACATGAGTTGCCCAACCATGGGCTGATCCAACACAACTGTAATATTGTGGGCCCGAAGTTGCTCTGCAGGGCCCACTCCACTCAACATCAAGAGCTGTGGGCTTCCTAGTGCACCAGATGATATGATAATTTCGTTCTTGGATCCTCTCTTTAGATAGGCTCTGTGCTTTGCTCCTGATGCATCTCTGTATATCACTCCATGAGCCACTGGCTTTGGTCTTGCTGTTTAATTACGAAGAGCAAAATTTAAAGGCTACAACTAGCAAGCAGCACCAGAAAATTAGATAACAAGATGCCTCGAGAAAATGAAAATCACATACCTTTAATTGCAAACAAGATCTTGTATGCAGTAGCATGCAAAAGGACAGTAAGCCCACTAGGATTGGCGTACTCCAACAAATCAGCAGCAGTATGTCTATTCCCATCTTGATCAAATATTGTTCCACCAACTTTAGTCCCATTAATATGATCGTATGTGAATCCGTTGTTTGGTAACACTCCGGCCTCTACCAACCCATCCCTCACCGCCGATTGCCATTGCCCCATTCGTGGCTTGAACGCCACTCGCCGCTCTGCCCATTGGTATGACTCATTCGCCAGCCGACCGTCCCACCCCACAGCTCTAGAGTATCATAAACTAATTAATTAGTAGTTGATTGAAACGTAACTTGACATTGTTTTATCACAATAATTCTGATGCTAGGTTTTAATGTAGTGATATACCTTACGTACTCTGGAGCAGCACGGGTATAGAATCCGGCATTCAGGCAGCTCCCACCGCCTAATATGCGTGCACGGGCATTGATCACGCCATCTTCGGAAATGAAACGTTGAGAGGGGGAAGTAGAAGAGAGATCGGACAGCGTAGCACCAAAATTGGCTAGGTTGGTAATGTTAGGATTCCCATAGGGTGAGCCGCCACGTTCGAGAAGCAAAACGCTAGCGTTGTGGGAGAGAGTGGCAGCTAATGGACAACCAGCAGTTCCACCACCCACAATTATGTAGTCGTAGTATGATATTGTTGGAGCTGAAGTTGCATTGTGCATGAAAGAGTAATTTGGAGCTGGGCCAAAAAAAAAAAAAAAAAAAAAGGTGATTTTATGTAATTACTGTTGTGTATGAAATAAAAGTTAAATGATCCAAAACTTTCCTAAATTTATTTTAAGTTATTTGAGAATTTGTTTCTTAACTTTTTAAATTTCTAATTCAACCTATTTATAATTATTATTTATTTAAAATTAGGTTTTTTCAATTATGCTTTCATGGATATTAATAAATACACATAATTTATATGTGGTTGACTTTTTAATTTCTCTAACAGCTAAAAATATACCAAAACTTATACATATTTTGTTTTTTTTTTTCAAAAACTTCTTTCTTTTGTTTTAAAATATTTTTTAATTATTTACTTTTAATATTTAGGAGAGAAAAGACAAGTTTTGAAAACAAAAATCATCCATAAGTTTTGGTATATTTTTAATTGTGGTGGAATTGCACATCAATGAAAACATAACAAATACACCAAATTTAATATGAAAAATAGTTGAAAAGAGACTCAATTTAAAATTAATAAGTTAATTATTAAATGAATTAAAATTTATGAAGGCATGAAATTAATTAAGATTGCTATGGATGCTTTGCTAGCTAGATGCATCAATTAGTTGTGTGGGTCAACTTTATCTGTTACAGTATGTATTGAACAGTATCACAAATATAAGCATTAAAACACCATAAATTAATAGTAATAAGTCCCAACAATAAAAACGGTGTTAATGGGAGTGTATATAAATGAACCAATAACGTGATTTATGACCAGAAATATGTTATTAACCTTAAATGTTGCATGTGGAAGTTATTGTAGTTAGGTGATACTTCTTTTTCATGTCAATAATAATTCTCATCTTCCTAGTGTCCCTTTTTGTGACTCCTGTTTAAAAGTTATACAGGATCTCGGGGCCTCGTATCCATTGATTAAATTGAAAGACCTATTGCGTATGGTCCTGGCAATGGAATACCCACATTGTCTTTGAAGCCCTTGCGTGATGCGTCCTACCTACTTTTCCTATTCCAGCGAACTGGTACCTAATTAATTTATATTATAGATCTCTCTCTCTCTCTCTCACACACACACACACTCGTTAATTATGTCATGGTTTTCTTTTTTTGTAAGGAAATGCACACACACACGTACGTTAATTATGTAATGGTTTTCTCTTTTTGTAAGGAAATGCACACACACACACGTTAATTATGTCATGGTTTTCTTTTTGTAAGGAAATGTAATATCCCATGCAGAAATAATTTATTTATATCCAATTTAGGCTTAGGCATTCCCTTTCGTCCTGTGAACATTACTCTTCTAGGCTCAACGGCCTAATCCTAGCAGAATGGCCCCACCCCGGACTGAGGGCAGGGAAGGAAACTAGGAATACATGCTTCACGAAAATGAAAATTCTTGGATAATTATCAACTATGATCAGCTAATTGAAGGGGAAAAAAAAAGCTAAAGAATTTTATGTTAAAATGATATAATGCTCCTGAATCATAAGACACTACATTGTTGGTTTCAATAGCCTAAGAGAATAAGTTAAGGTAACCATGCACTCGAGCTAATTTCATGGAAGTTCATTTTTAAGTATATATAGACTAATGATGAGAAGCAATAATGTACTGATTATCATATAGAAGAACACAAGCACAATAGCGAGGAAAGGAAAGAGCTTGAGTGAAGAAGGTATCGATACCTCTATCAGAGACACAAGAGCCATGAAAGAAGAGAATTCCTACAAAACAAGCACCGAAGATTTTGCATGCAAGACCCATTCTTTGAATAAACAAGCTTCCAAATTATGGTTTGTTGTACAAAAACAAGCCAACAAATGTTGTTCTTATATAACTATAGTAATTCAACAATCTCGACGGCTATAACTTCTGTGGGTACAAAGAATTCTTGCTCATTTTGTCGGCGAAAAAAACACACGAAATTTGACAATTATTAGCAAACTGTACCCCAGGATTCAGGAAATGAAGAAAATGTGATACCCTACCACGTAAAGAAGGACTTTGCTAAGGCTAGCTAGCTAAGTTTATTGTGGAAATGAACTATTTTTTCTCTCAAACAAATGAGCTAGAAATATATGAAAGCTAGCAACTCAATTAGATGGCCTATGGTTTTGATTTGTCTAACTCTCCACAATATTGTCTTATTTATACGCATGACAGACAGAAAATTGGCTAATCTATTACCACTTTTTTTTTTTTTTTTTTTTTTTTTTTTTTTTTTTTTAAGAATGATTAATGCTTCTACTAACTGCACATGACCTTGATTACTTTGGCTATGGGGTTAGATGGCTATTTATTGTAGGACTTGTGTGGTTAGGCATCATTATCATTTGCGTGCCCCATTACTTAATTTTTTCTTCTCCAAAAACTCAACGCTCGTTGCTATCAAATAATTAATGACAGGGTTATCAAATACTACCGCCTAGCCCAAGAGAGAAGAGATAATTTAATTTATTTGCTCATACTTAAAACTATCTCGTTTATTAATCAATATATATATATGAATAATTAATGTTGATTAATAAACGAGATAGTTATATATATTGTGAGAATTTGTCCATATGTTAAATTATAATTACTGATATGGGTTTTCTATAAGTAAACAGAAAATATTTTGTTATAATAGAAGCAGAAATGATATAGATTATTCAAAATTGATGTCAATTTTCTTTATAAAGATAAAATATAAATGAAATCTATAAAATGATTTCACGGTATTGGATTGATTGTCTTGATTGTGGGATATCATTGAAAAATAGGAATCCATGTTACCAAAGTGTACGTAAAAAGATCCTGTATAATTAGCCTATTTTAAAAATCATTCTATTTTAAAAGTTGATCATTAGTCTCTTAAGTATTTGAGGTTAATTTCTTAAATAGTAGTTGTCACTATAATTTAGGGATTTATATGTTTATCCTAATGAAGCGATTAGGAAATGACCTATCCGCCTATAAATATGTTCTATCTTACCTCAATATATAGTGAATAAAATATTTTTCTCTCTTAGAAACTTTCCCGGTATCGAGCCTAGTTCTCTTATTTGGCTATTTGTTGTCCAAACGACTCTCTTTTTCCTAACTCTAAAAAAATCGTGTCCTAGTTTCATATCCTTGAAGCCACCAAACAATGAGTTCAGGAAATGAGACTTCAAGCATGTCCTTATCTACTACATCCGAATCCATTCAGCCATTAATGGTTTCATAGTCCTTTGAAGGATCATTACTACAAATCACCAACAATAGGTTAAATGGTAAGAATTTTCTTCAATGATCCTAGTCAATTCTCATGGTTATCCAAGGGAGAGGAAAGCTGGGATACATTACTAGAGAGACCTAGCGACCCAACATAGGGGAACTAGCCCATATTAACTGGGAACTCAATAACTCATTAGTTCGACATGGCCGATCAACTCGATGGAACCTCACTCGGTCGCACTTGTTTCTCCGAACCGCCAAAGCAATTTGGATATTGTCGATATGAGTTACTTCGATCTTGAAAATGCATCTCAAGTATTTGAGATTAAAACTCAATCGAAGGAAATATGACTAGGTAGTAGGGAACTAAATATTATAATGAGTTATAAATACTTTGGCATGAAGTTGGACATGCATTATGAAACATATTAGGGAAACCTTGAAGGTAATCCGAAGTTCAAAAGGCATTTAGAGAAGGAAAGACTATATGAGTTCTTGAGTGGCCTTACACGGGAGCTTGATGAGGTGCGAGGAAGGATACTAAGGCATAAACCATTGCGCTCTATTGATGAAGCCTTTGCAAAAGTAAGACGAGAAGCTAGTAGGAGATGTGTTATGCTTAGTAGAAAAAGGGAATCCATGTCTATCCGGGCTGGAGAAAGGTCAATTGATAGAACGACTCTTCATCGTACGTAATTCTTTATGATAGATTTGGTGGAGATAAAAAAAAAAAATCAAAATAATCAATGAGGAGGATGTCCTTGCTGCAACCATTGCAATAGAGCGAGGTCATACCCATGATACCTATTGGGATATTTATGGAAAACTAGTGAATTGGAAGCCTTGAAGAACAAATAAAAAGGGTTTTCAAGTAATAATAGAGGAGAAATTGAGAAAACTCATTCTAGCAATAAGTCAAATTGTGTATTCCAAAGCAAATCTTAATTGGAACAATTACGGAAATTATTAAGTCAATCAACAATAAGTAATACAATTGTTAGTGATTTTGTTCATGAAAGTATAACTCTTCATGCAAAAAATATAAATACTTGGATGCTCGACTCTAGAGCATCCGACCATATGACAGAAACTTATCTTTATTTTATTCCCATACTCCTTGTCACTAGCATTTTAGAGTTAAAGTAATAGATGGTACATTTTCTCATGTTAGCCAAAAAGGCTTAATCCATCTCTCAAAGGAGATTTCTTTGAGTTTTGTTCTTTATGTACCAAGTCTTGCTTGTAACTTGATTCCATTGGTAAGATTACCGATGAGCTTAATTGTATTGTTATCTTTTTTTTACAACTCTTATATATTGCAAGACTAGGAATTAGGGAGGATGATTGGCAATACTAGAGAAGAAGGTGGACTCTACTATTTTAGGGATGACAAATACATGACTAAGTAAGCTACTGTGGTTGAGAGTGACTCTACTTACGCTCCCAATAATAATTCAATATTGTTGTGGCACCATAGGTTGATGTTAGAATAGATACACAAGATTCAACCTTGTTTGAATGGTTTGACATATTGCACTCTTTATGTTATTAATAAAAAAATTATTTCTATTAATTATTATTTTTATATTTTAAATAGAATTAGATAGAAGTCAATATAATTTGTATTGTATTAATGATTGATTAAAAAATGTGAGACAAAAACGTTAATGTACTTAAATGATATCATTAAATATCTTAAGTCATAGTACTCGTCAAGAATGGACATTGACTATATGCATTAAGACTTGTAGGTGTTATGCTCATGCTATAAGATAGTAGTAGGAGACCTCACACCTATTGGCATGATAATGCCAAAGCAAGCACTTAGGTTAATGTTGGAGAACATATCACCGGAATTGACTCACCATGAAAACCCATTTGGTTTAGTCTATGAGAATTTTATACGAAATGGGTACAACTGGTCCTTTGACTTGAAGTCATCATAGTTATCTCTTTAGAGGATTTATATACTTTGACACTCATTTTGATAGGCTCGGTCAAGAGTCATATGTCGATGATTCGTTGGGTGCAATAGGAATCTAATAAAAATAAATAGATGACTAAGATAGGATATATCATTCCTTGTATGCTAAAGCGAGTTATCACATTGCACTTCGATAAATGTCTACTAAAAAAATCCATGGCCATAGTAGGAATATACTAATAGAGCATAGTTGGTTTACTCTAAAGCTAAGACATTTGGGAATAAAAAAAAACTTGTGTGATCATAATCGAACGGACTATAAACCAAGTTTGAGATCAAACTATGATAAATTGATGTGAGGACTCGAATTGTATAGTAACTTTGCTCGTAAAAAGATAAGCGAGGATTAATTAATCCTCCTAGAGAATTAGATGGTCATGATGCTTTGCTAAATGTCAATCTTGATTTATGTATTAAGAGATAAAAGAGATGTCTTTTATTCTTGATACTTTGCCAACATATCTAGAAGCCTATTGAGTTATACACATAAGTTTAAACATTTACATAATAAAATAGAAGCAAAGATTTTGAAAAAGGTTTTCAATTTTGAATGTTTTCAATTTTGAAAAAAGTTTTCAAAAAATGGAAGGTTTTCTATTTTGGAAAACTTTTTCTAAAATGAAAATTTTTCTATTTTAGAAATCGGTTTCTTAATTTGAAAGTTAGTTTTAAATTTGAAAATAAGTTACCTAAGAAGAAAATTAGTTTTCTAATTTAGGTTTAAGGATAATTTGAGAAATTGTTTCCTAATGTGGGCTCCTTAAAAAATATCTAACCCAATTTATTTGGATAGTCTAAATTAATTGATAATTAATTAAGCCAAAAGAGTTTAGGCCAATAAACTTAATTTAAAAGTGTGTAAGATATTTTGATGGAATGATAAATTTGAGTCTTATTGGATAAGGATAGGCTTTATAAGGATAAGAGCAAAAAGGTCTACATGCATTGCAACTCCTAAACCTTGGAGGACTAGGAAGCCACAACCTATAGTCCATGTAGGACTTGTTGCTTGCCACTTTCTTTTCCTTGGAGAACAAGAAAGCCACTCCTCTATAAATAGAAGAGAGAGGTATGGCTAAGAGAGCTAATATTTTTAGAAGATACATGACATAGAGAAAAATACAAGACATAGAGGAAAAAAAAACAAAAAAATAGTTTTCTCTTCCTAAAAATCATGCCGGCTCTCTCCCTCTCTCTTAGAGTTGTCACAAAATGTGCCAAAATATATTTCTAAAGAGAAAAATTAAACAAGTCAAAAAAGTAGAGCTACCACTCTACAACTTCGATTGCTTCTTATGTGGTTGCTTCAACTGCATAGATTATCGATGGAGACTCAAACATTTGGACGATTCCTTTTATATAAAGGTTAAATTTATGCTACAAGAGGTAATCATTTACTCGGGTTTTAATTCATATATATATGATTAGTTGATTCAACGACTTGATCTTAGGAGCCTTAGATAGAGAAAATTTTTTTGTTTTATTCCGTAACTTCATAGGATGCATGATCCTTCGGTTAAGACATCCAAACTTTCATTATCTCAAACATCCGTTTTCAAGTTTATTTATCAATAAAAATCCT